GTTCCTTAGGGATGGAACTGTATGTCTGGCCAAAACTTTTTTTTTTTTTAAATAAACTGATAAGCTATTACACATCTGAAGCTCCTTTTCATTTAATGAGACAGTCATCACGTTCTTTGGGTCTCTAGACACTACCACAATTTAAATAATATTCAGACAAACTATGAAGAAGCCACTAGCCTTTAAATGTGTGACAAACAACAACTTAATATTGAGGTACCTTGAAATGACGTGGGATTAGTTTCTTTTTCAGATACTATGCTTATAGTACCATGTAAATATCTAGAGACACAGATTTAGTAGGTGTAAAGTTTTCTATAATCTTACTTGTGATTCAGTATATCTGATGCCAATAAATTGGTACAATTTAACACTATGATAATAGTAGGATTTTATGCAGAAGTAATTATAAATCTAAATTAAGTGGTGAATATCAAAAGAGGAATAATTGAGAATGTGATTTAGAATCTAAGGGACATCAGAAGAGAGGAGTGAAACATTTTAATCATTCCAGGAAGGTCAAGCTGAAACTTTAAAAACTGTTGACTTTCAGAAACAACTGGCACTTCAGGTATTGCCACTCTTTCTGCCAAAAGAATACCTAAGCTTTCTTTCCTTTCTAGAACTTCAGGTCTACAAGACAATCTGAATGTCATGACTATTAACATAATACTTTTTTAAAAAGCTACAACTTTTATCCTCACTATCATATACAAAACAGTGGGCTATTTTGTTTACCCTGACACAAAAGGTTAAGAAGAACAGGAAGTGTGAGCTGGAATCTGAACCAGATGATATTGACTAACCCAGATGTTTGGCTCCACCACACATAAATTGCTAAAAAGTTTTTAGGAATACTGTGAAACAGATCCTTGCCCTTTTTTGTGGGTGAAAACCACCAAAGACTGATGTCTGCTACTAATGGACATCATCAACTCCTTCTGAGAAATGACATTGCTAACTTTCCTGAAATATTCAATAGTCCATCCAATCGTCAAAAAACCATACTCAATGAAGATGACCTTTCCATTTTCCTATTTCTAACCTCCATTCCTAAGAAAAACCACCGAGAAAGCAGTGACAACAAAGCTCTAGCACATGTTATCTGTTACCGGGTGCTTTACAATTAGGATTCAAGCTGTGCGTGTATAGGAACTAAATGGGACTTTCCTCATGATGATGGATGTAAAAATAAACTCATGTGACAGTTGTTAGTCATGTCATTCATGCATCCCAGGAAGGATGCTTATATACCAGGCTATCAATGCAATATAAGAACCTAATTAGATAGGACACACACAATTGCTATTTAGCATTACTGAACCCTTCCACAAGTTATGACATAATCTATCAAAATGTACTACTGATCCACTTACATAAGTGCACATGCTTGGAGCAGACAGCATAGCATTACAATGACTCCATTTATTCCTCCAACAGAACCCAGAGAGGGCTAATGTGCAAATATATTTTTCCCCCAAAACCTTCACCTGTTGAATGGATCTCTGTTGTTCTGTTTAATATCTACATTAGACAGCTCAGAGAGGTAATGAGACACTAGAGTTCACTAGTAACAATATACTGACAACACGCAGCAGTACATCTCATAAGGACATAAGAATGGCCATACGGGATCAGACCAGTGATCCATCTAGCCTAGTATCCTGGCTTCCAACAGTGGCTGGTGCCAGATGCTTTACAAGGAGTGAACAGAACGGGGCAATTTATCGAGTGATCCACACCCTGCTTTCCAGTCCCAGCATCTAGCAGTCTCCTTTGCCACAGACACAACCAACATTAAACAGGTGTCAATGCCTAGTAATAATCAACTAAAATTCATTTTGGCCAAGACAGAAGTAATGCTAGTCAGAATTTATACACCAGAATTAGCTGGCTCACTGTCCTCCCCTTTCCATCAAAGACACCTACCCCTCCAACTGTCAAAGTAGTACAAAGCCTCAGGTTTTTGATAATAGCCGAGAAGGCCACACAGAATCAGTGATGAAAAATGTCTTTTATTGCACTTTCAGATTACTGCACAACCTTGCTCCCAATGATCTGGTCACTCAATTATTATATTAACTAAATCTGGGTCTGAAGGTGGCAGCAGTAGAGAGGCTACAGCTCTTTTAGAAAATGTAATAATCAATTTCTGCAATAGGACAGGACATCCTGCCATGCGGGCAGGGGACTGGACTCGATGACCTCTCGAGGTCCCTTCCAGTCCTATAATCTATGAATCACAAGAACATCAGCCCATATTTGTCCTTCCACTGGCTACCAATTTTCTTCCATTGAAAATTCAAAGACTTAGTCTTAGACTAGCTGTCAGGGCTGGTCAGTATGTGTGTGTGTGTGGGGAGGAGGGGGGGGAGAAGAACAGGGATAAGGGGGCTTGTCAGTGTGCGGGG